CAGTTTGATGTGGACTTATTATGAGCCTTTCTCTCTTTTTCAGGTGAATTACTACAACTCTTCAAATCAAAATGAAATACTTTTTAATTCTGTGTCTTATCCTCGGCTTGACTATTGTCAACGCCACTGAAGAAAGTAAGTGTTGCAAAGCCTCGTAAAACGAAAACCTTGACMATCCAACATTCTTGGGCGATCATCTAACATTGYTGCACTTCAAAWAAATTCCTGGATGACCAAACATCCTTAATATCACATATTAAATATRAGAACAAAAGAGTTTGRYARARTRTCASCAAAGATTGTGGCCCAACGATGAAATGTTGGCCCGCCCAAAATGTTGGATGGTGTTGGATATCCAACACTTCTAATAAAGCTTGAAAACTCTATATCAAATTGATATCTTCAACAATAAGTAATAACTCCAATTTTACATTATAATTTTCTAATAAATAATGAGTTGAAGATTTCATTGKATCGCGTGAAGCAATCGGCAACAGAAGCTAATTTTTGTAGAACGTCATTTTCAACCACTGGGTGCATGACACTACAAGGAGATTGTTCTGTTACAAAAGATCATTGTTTGTTAACGCTATTGTGGTGTGACAAAGGAAATTGTTTTCTTATGAGGTGTCAGAAACAATATTCACTACTAAATAATTCAAAAATCTGTTTAGATTTTTTTTAGAAATTTTTTCGGTTGAGTAAGTTTTTGCTTATATTACGATGTATTTTCATTTGTATACATAAACAATAGCTCATGAGGAATTCCCGCTGATCATGGTCCTTTATATTTCCTTTGTCATTTACCATTACATTCTAAGCATCGCCCTAATTTTGTTTTCTTTCTTCTACTTCCCTATTGTTGTAACCATATTCTTGTTATGTCGGTTTGACATGGAAGAGATAGATGTTTTTCTTCAMRTAGCGGGTAATCGAACTGAAACCGTWTGTTATGACAAGGAAACAGGTTTTTTTTGTAGCTTTTTTATAACGTGGCTAACAAAGGATTATAATCATCATTAACATTATTATCACTACTAAATCATCGTTATAATTAATATCGTTATCATAAAGTTATTATTACAATCGTTATTAGAGATAATCATTATCATCATCATCAAGGACAGATGACAAAATTTGTTAGGTGTGCCCTACCGAGGGAGTTTGGGACTGAGAAAGAAGAAGAAGGGTTTCTGGGTTWTTCTTGYCCAATCWCTTTTGGAGMAGCTAGGAATGCCTGGCTRTGCAGKCTAGGTTGTCCCAATCRGTCATAAGCTYAAAGATTTAGATCAATTAGGGGAGACTGTAGGGTTAGGGGGTACCTGATGTCACTATCAACAACCC